ATCGGGTCGGGCGAAAGGGGGGGGATAGCAAAAGGGGGGGGTTGAGAATCAGCTCGCGTAGCTGATTTTCCCGGCGCCTCCCGGCGCCGGAAGCGCCCATGTATCGAGGAATGGGCCGCTCGGTGAGGCCGAAACCAGCTGCATGCAGCAAATTTCGTAAACCCCCTTTCCCAATCCCCCCCTGTCGTCCGGCCCGAGAGAAGAGGAAGGGGGGCGGCAAAGTGATGGGAGTTGTGGGTGGCAGTCCCAGATCCGATGTCGTGATTTTTTCAATACGGGGTCCTCAGAAGTCTCGACCCATTCCCCAGGACCGGTTTTTCATCCTGAATCGTTTTTTTACGGTCCCGGAGCCCGGCGAGGGCCCCTCGAGGTCGAAAATTGCGAAAAACCTCCGTCTTGATTTTTTCAATACGTTGGATCTCTGGGGTTGGCGCGTCTCACTGCAGGTGGTCGCACATGTTCTGTTGGGTGGGGGCGCGGGTCACCTCCCCTTGCGGCCGCCTTCGTTGGCCGAGGGACCGCGGCGGGGCCGTCGGCCCCCTCGACTGTCGATGGACGGAAGACTTGAACTTTGACTGAGGGGGGCGGGAAGCCAACCAATCCCATTGATAAAAGCTGCGATGGGTGTGAGGCCGACCTCACTGGCGAGGCCCAACGACGACGGTCCTCGCCGAAAGGAGGGGGGGAAGGAACGGGGCGTAGCGACGATGCCGTCCGTTATGCGTCCTGGTCCTGGGGCGGGAAGTCCTGCAAAGGGGGAGCGAAGCACAAAAATTGCATACACAACCTCGACTCCGAACTGAGTAGCCACTGAGCACTCGGTATCCTGTTGGAAGGGGATAACGAAAGCGCGCGCTCACGCTTTGGTGCCGGTTAGTTGCGCCCCCAAGGGCGGACGAAACGTGCCCCCTCCCAGGGGAACACAAAAAGGGCCCCGGGGACATCCGCGCCCCGCCGAGAGCATACCCGGGGAGGGGGAGGGCCCCCCCCGAATGAAAACCCAAAAGCCTGCGACGCTGCACCCGAATCCAGGGCAGACGCCATCGGCCATGCGACCGGGACACTCGAGCTAGCACCACGTATGCAACGCATTCCTGGGCGAGCCCCCCGAGCGGGGGAGAGGGGGAAAGTGGGCCGAGGGGCACAGGAAAAGGGGTCGCCCCAGCGCGCCAGGAGAGGTCCCAAGACGACGACGAGGATGGGAGAGACGGGCGAGGAGGAGGCACGGAGGAGGAGAGAGGCTGTCGGCTATACGAGTGACCCTGGGTAAGAATGACCTTTGGTGCGCGACTTTTGGGGGGTCGCGGGGGGGACCAAACCTGGGCGCGCAAGCAGCTGCTACTGCTTCGTTTTCGGCCATCTGGGGACCCATCTGTGCCCGCACCAAAGGTCACTCCTGCGAAAGGTCACTCTTACGTCTAATCGAGGATGGGGCGCCTGTTCCTTCTTTTTCGCGCGGCCCCGGCGGTGGGAAGGTCCTGGAGCGAAATCCTGCGAAGGGCCATTTGAACCTTGAGAACTTGATCACACTGCGGGGCGGGGGCGGGGGCGGGGGCCTTGAAAAACTCAGGGGGGAAACCGGCAGAAGGCTGGGGCCCAGAACTGGGGGGAACAACGACGGCCAGAAACAGTAATACGACAAAGGGGGGGCAGGACGAAGGGGCGACAACACTAGCGAAACGACCAGGCCAGGGGAAAAACAATGCTTTGACAAAGAGCAAGAATTTGGACCACATGGTGCCACTAGTGGCACGAAAATGACACCACGGCAAAGACCGAACCGTCACCCTTGGAGTGCGATGCGGGGGTGGCCACGGTGCCAAAATGTAAGAATTGACTGGTGCTGACAGGCGCAATCAGCCGGCAACGGAATCTTTCCCCAGCGCGGCCCAAGGGAGGATAAAAGTGGTGGGTGGCAAATGGCGCCTTTAAATTCCAGGGGGTGGCACATGTGCTTTGCAATGGAGATGCGGCCCCCCGTACGGCCGTCTTCGTTGGCCGAAGGACCGTAGGGGAGTCCTCGGTCCCCTTCAGTGCCAATTTTGCCAGGTTGACTTGTGGGGGCGGGAACCCAATCAACCTCATTGACGGAAGTTGCGAAGGGTGTGAGGCCTACTGGCGGCTTGCACCCGCAAGTCCTACTGACGGCCCTCGCCGAGGAGAGGGGGGTCGAGGGAAAGGTGGGGCGTAGCGACGATGCCGTCCGCGATGCGTCCCGGTCCGGAGGCGGGACTTCCTGAAGGGGGGGGCGGTGGCAAAAACACAAAGACGGCATGCGCAGCGGGAGAGATATGGGGGGATCGTGGGGTGGAGCGGGCCTTTCGAGCTCTTCGCTGAATGCCCCATAACTTTGCGCTACTTCACCGGCCCAGGCCCCCAACCGTCGGATCTCCCAGGATGCTCCGCGCGATATATCAGGAGTGCCGCATAACTTCCCCCGAAGTCGGAGAGCTCCAAATTGAACCACGATAGCTCCAATATGTAAAGGAGATTCAAGACGGCCCTGGAGGATGTGAGTCGGCCGCCGAGACCCCTAACCCAAGTCAAGGTGCTAAGAGGGCCCCCGAGAGGCCCAAATCCATGGTGATCCTTAGGATTCGAGGGATTTGAATGCTCCCTCCATTTCAAGCAGCGTAGCCCAACAAGACGGCTCGAGAGGCCGTAGAGATCGCCCCAAAGCGGCCCAAGCGGCCCCCAGGAGGGCTCCGAGACGGCCCAACCGAGCTCCAATACGGCCCAACAGAGCTCCAATACGGCTCCGGTGGGTCCCGATTCCGATTCGATTCAACATTGTGCTCCGATTTGGGCTCCGAGTTCTCAACGGAGGCCTACAAACCTGCCGACTTGCGCCGATCCGATTCACCTCGATCGCCGATCCGACTTATCGATTCGATGCGCCGCGCCTTCGAAAGTCGCCAGAGCTTCACAGATGGAGGGCGGGTGGTTTTCAAAATATTGCTCTCGCCCTAGCGCCGCGCACACTTAGAAAGTCGCCAAAGCTTCACGGATGGAGGGCGGGTGGTTTTCGAAATGTGGCTCTCGCCTTAGCGCCGCGCGCATTCGTTTCACGGATTCCCATGGTCACCGTACCAGAAATCGAGTTTTGGAGTGGCCCTGGATTGCCAGGGCGCAACAAGTTACGTTGCTTCGCGGTTTTGAAGTCCCGGGAACGGCGTCCTGGCACGATACAGGATCGCCAAGACGCAACAGTCACGCTGATTCGTGGTTTTGGAGTCCCGAGAGTGATGTTCTGGCACGCTTCAGGGTCTTCTCCCCACGGGGCACTGCCCTCCGTGGAGATGAATCCTCGTAGGGGCCCATGAAGAAGAAGCTTGGAGGGAGGGTTTATTCCAACATAGTTGGTGAGTCTTGGGTTTAGACTGGTCCTCCTCCTTCTCCGCGTCCCGCACCATGCGCGATGTAGGCCTGGGCGGTGTTGGCGCTTTTGTTGAGGATTCCTATGAGTTCCTTCGGATTCCTATGGATTCCTTTGGAATCCTTGGGGTTCCTCTGCTTTCTGAGGGTTCGTATGAATCCCTGAGAATTCCTAGGGGTTCCCGTAGGATTCCGCAGGAATCCTGCGGACTCTCAGGGGTTCCTTATGTTGGATCCCTTACTCAGAAATCCATGACGAGGATAAGGAGTCCTCCTTACCAAGGACTCCTCGTTCAGAATTCTCCTTGTGCGGATTCCTGATGGAGAATTCCTTTTCTGAGGGCTCCTCACTAAGGACTCCCCATTAATGGCTCATGATTCAAGTTCCTGCCCAAGGTTTCCTTAAAAATGGTTCCACTCTACACCCTGCGAAATGCTTAAGAAATCATGGGTTAAGAAATTCATAGTCTCAGAACTTGAACAAAAACCCAAGATTTCCATCAAAATCTTAAGATTTACATTGAAACGTTAAGAATAATCGAGACTCTGGCCGACAACTTAAGTTTTCTTAAGCATCGCCTGAGGTGTAAGCAATTCCATCACGGACTCCTCAGCAAGAATTCCTTACCAAGAAGTCCTCACGAAGGACTCACTCATCAACATGATTTACCAACTATTCCTCATGAAGGACTCTCTACGAGGGATTCACACTACGGGTTCCCCACAAAAGATATGTCATCAAGTCTCCTTACCAAGGATGCTTGAGAACGGATTCCTTACTACGAATTCTGGGCTACGGCTAAGCAGTCCTTATCAAGGATTCGTTACCAAGGATTCCATACTAAAGGCTCCTCATTAAGGGTTTCTCATAAAAAGGGGTTCCTCACGAATTATTATTTACCAAGGAGTTCTTAAGACGGGTGTAACTAAGGATTCCTTAGTGGGGGTTTCTTGCGAAGGGGTCCTCGCTGACGACTTCTCAATAAAGATTCCTCACTCAGGATTCCTCACTCAGGGTTCCTGAGGTTGCTGTTTGGGGGGAATTTCGGGCAGACCGCTGAAACGCTCGAGAATGAGACTCGCTTCTAAGGAGACTGCAGCCCGCGCCGAAGCGCATAGAGGGGGTCGAGCACGAACACTTGTTGAATTATCCAGACTCTACGAGAGCAAGCCGAGGAAGAAGCAGGCGAGAAACGGCGTGGCGCGCCGCGGCTCTCGCGGCGGGCCCCGCTAATTCCCGCTGCATCTGGTCGCGCAGCGGAGCCGCACAGCTGCCCTTAAGGCCGAGGGGCAGCAGGGACACGCACTGCCGCCACACGGAAGGGAAGCCCCAAATAGGGGACCAAACGACGGCATAAACATAAAAGCATTGGAGGCCCGCGCGGATTCCTCGGATGGGCGCTGGGGCCCCCTGGCGGCGCCTCTGGCGCCGATCCGAGGAATCTGCCCAGATCTCAGAGTCTGTATGTCTATGTCATTGCTTGTTCCCCGACAAAGGAAAATGAGGGCGCGGTGCGCACAGACCCGCGCCGCCAGCGCCGGCAATGGACGGAATGCACGAGGGCACAGTCTGGGGGTCGTCCCACGTCGGCCTGGCACAGAGCGAGCGGATTCGAGGGCCGGAGCTGTGCACGCGGCCATCTGAAGACCCTGGCGGGCACCACGTGCGGTAGGGACCCTGACCACAAGATACCTCCCACAAGAAACCCAACCCTGAGACCCCAGGGCGTCCATCGATTTTTGGTGTGGGAACGTCACGCTTTCCATAGCAAAACCATCGAAACCCAAGAAACCCAGGGCACCCTAGAGGCAAGCAGGGTGTTTCTTGGCATGGGTCTCCACTGCACGAGACCCCGTCTCGGAGGCCTCGTCCGACACACCGCTGGCTTCCGTCACCGAACGCCACGAGTCGGCATGTCTGCGAACTGGCCTCGGGCTGGATCTCATCTTGGCCAAGGTTCGCCGGATTCGAAGGCCGGAGCTGTGCACGCGGCCATCGGAAGAAGGGGCAGGAGAGGAAGAGCTCGGGGAGGTGCAGGAAGACCTGGCGGCGGTACCGGCTACACAGTGCGGGCGCGGCCGCAAGAAACCCTCGCGAAAAACACAACCCTGAGAACCCGCGCGCGAGGTGCACCGGAGGGGAAACCCGGAGCACACTGAACGCAGCAGCTCCCTCAACGGCCGCGGGAAGTCGCTGCTCAGCGCGAGGATACGTAGGGGGCCACATGCGAACCCCACCCTTCCCCTCAGAAATCGTGGGGGGTAGGGATAGGGTTCGCCATGTGGCCCCCTAGAGGAGCAAAGAAACCCAAGATACCCTGACGAAAAGCAGATGGTTTCTTGATGCGCGCCCCCACTGTACGAGGCCCCGTCTCGGACGCCTCGAGAGCTCCGTACCAAGCTCGAGGAACGGGCAGGAGAGGCAGAGTTCAGGGAGGTGCAGGAGGACCTGGCGGCGGCACCGGCTGTACTAGAAGAAGAAGAAGAAGAAGAAGAAGAAGAAGAGGTAACAAAACACATTAGCCTGGCGAAAGACCCAACCATAAGCAATTGTTAATACCGCAATTGTGGGCATCATCTTCGGTGGAGCTCCCTATGGGGCCACGAACCGTGTGAGGGGTGCGCCAAAATGGGGCGGGGCCGCCATGCGGACCCTGCCACTTGGGCCTTCGGTGGAGCTCCCTATGGGGCCACGAGCCGTGTGAGGGGTGCGCCAAAATGGGGCGGGGCCGCCATGCGGACCCTGCCACTGGGGCCTTCGGTGGAGCTCCCTATGGGGCCACGAACCGTGTGAGGGGTGCGCCAACATGGGGCGGGGCCGCCATGCGGACCCTGCCACTGGGGCCTTCGGTGGAGCTCCCTATGGGGCCACGAACCGTGTGAGGGGTGCGCCAAAATGCGGGGCCGCCATGCGGACCCTGCCACTGGGGCCTTCGGTGGAGCTCCCTATGGGGCCACGAACCGTGTGAGGGGTGCGCCAAATGCGGGGCCGCCATGCGGACCCTGCCACTGGGGCCTTCGGTGGAGCTCCCTATGGGGCCACGAACCGTGTGAGGGGTGCGCCCCAATGCGGGGCCGCCATGCGGACCCTGCCACTGGGGCCTTCGGTGGAGCTCCCTATGGGGCCACGAACCGTGTGAGGGGTGCGCCAAAATGCGGGGCCGCCATGCGGACCCTGCCACTGGGGCCTTCGGTGGAGCTCCCTATGGGGCCACGAACCGTGTGAGGGGTGCGCCAAAATGCGGGGCCGCCATGCGGACCCTGCCACTGGGGCCTTCGGTGGAGCTCCCTATGGGGCCACGAACCGTGTGAGGGGTGCGCCAAAATGCGGGGCCGCCATGCGGACCCTGCCACTGGGGCCTTCGGTGGAGCTCCCTATGGGGCCACGGAGCGCGTGAGGGATGTGCCGAAACAGAGACATGCGGAGGGCAGAGGCAAGGGGGAGGGAGGGGGCAGCGGGAGGAAGGAGGAGGAACGCGGGGCACCGTCTCTTCAAAACGAGGACCCAACACCACAGGATGGTTGGGAATAAACATACACAAAACCACTTTGAGCGCCCTCATCTTCTGCTGTCGGGGAGCGAACCATGACACAAAAACTCTGAGGTCTGGGCAGATTCCTCGGATCGGCGCTCGACCCCCTCCCTGGCGCGGAAGGCGCCAAGGGCGCCGCCGGAGGCACCGCCGGGGGGCCCAGGCTCGGGTCCAAGAAGTCCGCGCGGTGCGCCAAAAGTTTTGTTTATGCGGTTTTTCTTCTTCGATGTACGAGGCCCCGTCTCGGAAGCCTCGTCCGACACACCGCTGCCTTCGGCCACTGAAAGAGACACGGGTCGGCAAGGCAGCAGCGGGCTGCGAGCTGGCCTCGGCTTCTCGAGAGGAGGAGGGGCAGAGAGGGCGGTGGGCGAGGAGGAGGAGGAGGAGGAGGAGGAGGAGGAGGAGGACAAGGATGGACAAGGAGGAGGACAAGGAGGAGGACAAGGAGGAGGAGGAGGACAAGGAGGAGGAGGAGGAGGAGGAGGAGGAGGGGCAGAGAGGGTGGTGGGCGAGGAGGAGGAGGAGGAGGAGGAGGAGGAAGACCTGGCGGCGGCACCGGCTGTACGAGGCCCCGTCTCGGAGGCCTCGTCCGACACACAGCTGGCGTCCGCCACCGAAAGCAACACGGGCTGGCAAGGCGGCAGCGGGCTGTGCGAGCTGGCCTCTCGGGCTGGGCCTCTCTCCTCTTGGCCAGGGCTTGCCTCGGCTTCTCGAGAGGAGGAGGGGCAGAGAGGGCGGTGGGGAGGGAGGAGGAGGAGGCGGAGGAGGAGGAGGAGGAGGAGGAGGAGGAGGAGGAGGAGGAGGAGGAGGAGGACAAGGATGGACAAGGAGGAGGACGAGGAGGAGGAGGAGGGGCAAAGAGGGCGGTGGGGGAGGAGGGGACCGATGCGAGGCAACCACATCTTGCCGTCGCTCCGACGTCCACTTCTCGTGCACGTTTTGGCTTCGTGCGTGATCCAGGATGCTCATCGATAGTCTTCGCCGAGAAAAAATGCACACGTCCGAGCGATGCCAAGACAAATAGATCCCACCTGCCCCTGCAGATCAGACTTCTGAACCAACGGCACGGTTCAAAACGTGAAGGATGTCTGTGGCCAAACAGACCCGAACAGGGGTGTCCGATACCCCAGCGTTGATTGGATTCCCAGGGATTTGGTTCGCCAGTGGTCGCAGAGGAGGCGAGGCCCGACGCTCGACTCGACAAGTCCTCTGGATCTGTCAGCTGTTGATTCCACGGCGCCGCCGCAGTGCCCCCGCTGGCCTCCTCCCGGCATGGAGACCCCCACCGCGCTTACAACCTCGCCCTCATCCTGAGGAGGGAGGGAGGGAGGGAGGAGAGAAGGGGAGGAGGGAGGGAGGAGGGAGGAAACAGGCAGGAGAGAAGGAAAAGGGGGCGGGGCACGAGCGGTTGCCAGGCGCGGTGGGGGTGCCCAGACTTTGGTGCGTCGCGGCCCAGGACATTGCCTGCCAGCTGTACATCTCGTAGGGCCCGCGGCAAGCGTGGAGGAGAAGATCTCATCCCGCGTCCCTCCTCCGTCCCGCCTCCTCCCTCGTGGCTTCGACGAGGCTTGGCAGAATCTGAGATTCCTGGTCCCTCTCCTCCTCCACCTCCTTCACCGTCTCCTCCTTCTCTTCCTTCTCCTCCTCCTCCTCCTCCTCTTCCTCTTCCTCCTCCTCCTCCCCCTCCTCCCCCTCCTCCTCCTCCTCCTGCCCCTCCCCCCCTCCTGCTCCTCCGCCTCCTCCTCCTCCGCCTCCTCCTCCTCCTCCTCCCGCCCACCGTGTGGGGGTCAGGACACTCCGAGTACACTCCTCCCCCTCCTCCTCCTCCTCCTCCTCCTCCTCCTCCTCCTCCTCCTCCTCCTCCTCCTCCTCCTCCATCCCTCTTCACCATCAACCCGCCGCCGTGCCCCGTGGCGCGTGGAGGCGCTGCAGGATGCCAAGTGCTGTCCGCTCGGGCCTCCGCACGTCTGCTACGTATAGCCTCGCGCGGGTGCCCCTCGAGGCGCCCTCGTGCGGCCTCCTCCGCCTCCACGGGGTCTCTCTGGCTGGCCAGGGGCTTTTATAAGCCAGCCCCGGAAGGCCGCCGGGGACGCCAGCACGACCCCAACGCCACAGTGCATGGGGCCCTGACCACAAGAGACCTCCTCTTCCTCCTCTTCCTCCTCCTCCTCCTCCTCCTCCCCCTCCCCCTCCTCCTCCCCCTCCTTCTCCCACCGTGTGGGGGTCAGGACACTCCGAGTACACTCCGAGACCTCCCAGAAGCAACCCAACCCTGAGACCCCAGGACGTCCACGGATTTTTGGCGTGGAAGCGGCACGCTTTCCATGGCAGAAGCATCGAAACCCAGGAAACCCAGGGCACCCTGGCGGCACGCAGGGTGCTTCTTGGCACGGACCCCAACTGTAGCCCCCAAGAGGACACATAGAGGTACTGAGGAGCCGCCAAGAGGCCTCCAATGCACCAAACAGAAGGCCAGGAGCCTTTCCAGGAGGGCCAGCAGCACACAAAACCTGAGGGCACCCTTTGGTTCTTAGAACATTTTGCGTACCCTGTCCATCTCGGCTCACGATGGTGGCAAATGTGCCTTCGCGGAGACCAAGAGGATGCCGACCGAGCCCAATGAGAGCCCGAAGCGCCCCCAGGCAGCCCAGGACAGCCCCAGGACAGCCCCGGGACGGCCCCAGACAGGACCGATATAGCCCACGAGGATAGCAAGGTGGCCCAAGATGGCCCCAAGGCAGCCCCGACAGACCCCAGGGAGGCGCCGAAGGCTGCCCGATGGGGCAGCTGGGCCACACGTTGGCTCGAAAAGGTCATGACAGGACCCCGAGACGGCCCCACAGACGCCAAGACAACTAATTGCAGGAGGGTCCGGGTAGGCCTCGCGAGAAGCCTTCCAGGCGTGTAGACGATAGGCGTCACGTGCTGCAGCCTTGTGGGCGTCGCCACGCAGATTGCTGCGCTGGCACGGTGGCGGAACAAGCCGCAGGCAACTGCATCATAAATCCTCCACGATCGATCGATAGTGGGCGTTGCTGTGCCACGCGTGGCATTCAACCTTCACCGTCCACGGTGGGGTCCCCGCCGCGTCGACACGGCGCAAACCTACCGTGGCATTTCCTCTCCGTCCCTCCCGTCCGTCCGCCACGTGAACTTCCTGGAAAGCTAGGGCAACGCAAACTCGGCTGCCGCGCATGCACCGCGTTAGTGCGGCCGGGCAGTCCCTCTGCCAATTACTCTGCCTAGACCTTGTCATTATTAGCGCCGTCGTCCCCCCCAGTGCCAGGACTCTGAAGAAGCTGCGCCACCCCCTGGGCGACGCAGAGAGAATGCGGGCAGGTAGAAGCGGTGGGCGGAGGAGGGGGGGCGGAGAGGGGGGCGGGGAGGAGGACGGGAGATGGGGGAGGGAGGGGGAGGAGTACATTGTACGTCAGCATCGGGGATGAATACAAACGGCGACAGCAGTGGCCTGCAATTTCGATGTGGCCTGCAATCTCGAGGGGGAGGAGGGGGAGGAGGACGACAGAGTGGAGCGGAGAGCGGAGAGCGGAGCGCTCAAGACCGCAGGAACGGGAACCTGAGGGTTGGCGCGGGTGGGCGGGGGCCCTTTACACCGTGGCGTCGTAGATGTTCAAGAAGAAGCAGCCGTCGCTTGCGTGATGAATTGTCCCTCCGATCTGTGCCACGCACACAGCTGTGCCAGGCAAGTTGCAACCATCATCGGCAACCAGTCTCGTCGGAGGCTCTTGTGCTGTCCACCAGTTTCTGTGATACCAAGAAGCTGACGACATCTCGATCCCATCTTATCCGCTGCCCTCCGTAGTTCCTTTGGGCAGGCCGTCTGTCATGCACTGGAAATCCCCCAACCACGGCACGTCGCGACCATCGGTAAGTAGAGTGATTTGCTACGCGGCAAGCCCACTGCCACATCCTCTTGAAATAAACGGTTGTCCAATGTTCGATTTGGGCTCGTTTGGCGTGGGCGTTGGCAGTGTGTCTGTGTGTGCGTGTTGCTCTCCAGGCGCAGTCAATCCAGGATTATGTAGTGCTGTCGCCTGAGTTGCTGCTGCTGCTGCTGCCATTGTTGCTGTTGCTGTTGCTGTTGCTGTTGTTGTTGTTGAACATCATTAATTATAAAGAATAATTATTGTTGGGGCCCCTGGTGCGCGCCCCCCCCGCCGCGCCTAGGCCGCAGCCACATTTTCATCACTTTCGTGAGGAAGTCTCAGGCAAAACGTGGGTGTCCGGATCCGGTTGTGTTGTTACGATCGGTTTTCCCTTGCAAAAAAAAAGGCACAGTGGACATTTCTTGTTCTAACATAACCAAACTTCAAGAATCCTTTGCAAAAAATGGCACGAAGTGCACACTCGCGCGCGCAAGATGAAATCCTTCCAAAACCTTAGTGTTCGTAGCGATTTTAACATAAAAACATGAAAAACCCAATGGTTTTTCAAACAAAAAGTTTCAAACATTCATCCCGCGCGCTCTTGCGGATTTCTTAGGAAACCCAGTATTTTTCAACATTTCTGTCAAACGGGCTCTTGCGAGCAACTTTTTCACGTGCTTCGAACTTCTGCAACAACGGTTGCGCGCCTGCCAGGGCCATCATCCCTGTCAAATAATACCATATGGGACACATTCGTTTTTTCTTCGCGCGCGCACGCCGAAATCTTCAATTGCAGGGGGAAAAGTCGTATACTAAGCTAGCTTACAGAAAATGTTACCACAACAAGTCATTGTACCCATGCGCCAGTGTAGTAGCCAAGGTCGTCCGCAGGCCACGAAGTGAGGTGTCCGAACGTCATAGGGCGGGAAGCTGGGTGTGGGTGGTGGCGAAGAGTCGTTTGGAAATTTGGTAGAGCTTGAACCGGCCCCCCCACAAAGTGGGGGTATTGCCCGCCTCCTATGAAAACCCTGGCACTGGTGAGAACGGAGTGTCCCCACGTGCTAGTAATTGTTGTTGTTGTTGTTGTTGTTGTTGTTGTTGTTGTTGTTGTTGTTGTTGTTAGTGTTGTTGCTGTTGTTGCATTCTCATTTCAGAAGAATAATTATTGTTGATCCCCCCCACCGGTGCATACTGTTTTTCTTAAATCAAAGTGTGCCCCTCGACGCTCGCACCCTGTTTTCTGACAAAGAAAGTCTTCCTACTCAAACTGGGCCCCTGGCCCCCGGGTTACAACAACAACGGCTCCCGCCGGAGACTTCCTTACAATTTAGCCAGGACCCCCGCTCCCGCCCGAGACTTCCTCGCATTTTATTCAGGAATCGCGCTCTTGCTTGGGATTTCCTTACAACTTCTTCAGGAATCGCTCTCCCGGCGCTCTGGAGTCGCGCTCTCGCTGGAGACTTGCTTGCAACTTACTGAAGAATGGCCTTGCGTTGGAATTTCCTGCAATTTGCCCAAGCGCCGCGCTCCCGACACCCAGGCACCCAGGAATCGCGCCCGTTGTGGCCCCATGTGCATGCCCTTCGTGGCCCCGCTGTCGCAATTTGTGTCTCCCCTCACTGTCCTACGTGGCCCAGTTGCTACCCTCAGTGGCCCCATAGTTGCCTTCTCTGGCCCCGCATTATCTGCATTTCGTGGCCCCCGCTCGTTCGCGCTCTTCGTGGTCCCATACGCATTCCCTTCGTGTCCCCGCTGTCGCCCTTCGTGGCCTACTCCGTGCCCTTCGTGGCCCTGCTGTCGTTCTCTCTCGCTCTCGCTTTCGCTCGTCGTCGCCGTCGTCGTCGTCGTCGCCGTCGTCTTCGACGTCGTCGTCGTCGTCGTCGTCGTCGTCGTCGTCGTCGGTCGGTCCCCTGTCCGTCCCTCTTGGGGTCGGGTTGACGGTCCGCGGCCGCCCCGCCGATCAGCGCTGCCGCTGGCCAGGCCGACGGTCCGCGGCCGCCCCGCCGCTTGCCGGGGCCCGGCCTGCAGGGAAGAAAGGTATAACCCCCAAAAGGGGCTCGATCGAAGACGAAGAGGGCGGGTATCGAGGGTTTGGGAAATACGCGTTATTGGACACTCGAGCATATAAGGGCGAACAATATTAAAACTATTTTTGTTGTTGTTGTTGTCGTCGTCGTTGTTGTTGTGTTTGTTGCTGTTGTTGTTGTTGAATACGCATTTCTAGACCATAATTCTGGTTGATCTCCTGAAACGGTTCCGGGCGCTCTCGCCTCGACGCTGGCTACATTGTATCAGGAAACGAGGCTACCGCTAGAGTGTTGGCTTGAGTGTAAAAGTGGGCGCTTTGAGGCCCAGCTACGACGACAAAGGCTCCCGCTCGATACACTTCTTCTCAGTTTACCCCGAAACACCCTGGACAGAGAGGCCCCCGAACTCATGAACGGCGCTCTCGCCCGAGACTTCCTCGCACTTCAGTCAAGTTGGCGGGGGCCCAGCCAGACACTTCCTCACGATTTACTCCGAGAACCCCTGGCCAAGAAAGCCCCCGAACTCAAGAACGGCGCTCTCGCTGCTTCAGTCAAAGGTGTCGAGGCCCAACTACGACGACAAGGGCTCCCGTTCGATACATCTTCAAGCTGTATTCGCAGAGGCCCATGCCAAAGAGGCCCCCGAACTCACAGGTGGCGCTCTCGCTCGAGATCTTCTCGTAATTAGGGCAAGCTGATGGAAGCCCAGACACGGCGACAACGGCTCCCGTTCGATATTTCTCAATGTGTATTCCGAGAGCCCCTGGCCTGGCCAGCGAGGCCCCCGAACTCAGGAACGGCACTCTCGCTCGAGAGGTCCTCGCACTTCAGTGAGTGGCCGACAAGGACGACACTCCCCCCGAAAGGGGGTGCCATCGAAGACGAAGTGGGTGGGTATCCAGGGATGGGGTATACAAAATGCAAAACCCGCGTGCCACTAAGAGCCAGCAGTATAAAACATGTTTGTTGTTGTTGTGGTTGTTGTTTGTGCTGTTGTTGTTGTTGTTGTTGTTGTTGCAGTTGATTTGTTTGGGAGGAGGCCAGCTAGTGCGCACGCGCCACATCTAACATCCTAGCGTTCCCTCCCATCTCTTCCCTTTGCGCTGATCTTCTCTGTCCGCGGACGCATGTCGTAGGCGACCTGGAACTCCAGAAATCAGCCTGGCGAATAACCCAGCTATATGCAATTGTCAGTAACGCAATTGTGCGTAGCGTCGTCGGTGGAGCGCCCTATGGGGCCAAACACTGTGTGAAAAAGGTGAGCCAAAATAAACATCGGGCACATGCGCATGCGGACCCTGCCACTGGGGCCTTTGGTGGAACTCCCTCTGGTGCCACGAACCGTGTGCAAGGTGTGCTGCAATGGGCGTCGGGCACTTACGGACCCTGCCACTGGGGCCTTCGATGGAGCCCCTTGTGGGGTCACGAACCGTATGCAAGGTGTGCCACATTGGGCGTCGGTCGCATGCGGACACTGCCACCCGTGTGAGGGGTGAGCTAAAATGGGCGTCGGGCGCATGCGGGCTCTGCCACTGTGGCCTGCGGTGGAGCTCCCGATGGTGCCACGAACCGAATGAGGGGTGTGCTACAATGTGCGTCGAACGCATACGGACCATGCCACTGGGGCCTTCGGTGGGGCTCCCTATGGGGCCACGAACAATGTGAAGGGTGTGTCAAGATGGGCGTCAAGCGCATGCGGGCCCTGCCACTGGGGCCGTCGGTGAAGCTCCCTATGGGGCCACGAACCGTGTGCAAGGTGTGCCAAATTGGGCGTCGGGCGCATACGGACCCTGCCATTGGGGCCTTTCGGTGCCACGAACCGTGTGAGGTGAGCGATGTGTGTGTGTGTGTGTGTGTGTGTGTGCGTGTGTGTGTGTGTGTGTGTGTGTGTGTGTGTGTGTGTGTGTGTGTGTGTGTGTGTGTGTGTGTGTGTGTGTGTGTGTGGGGGGTGCGCGTGGGTGAGCGGGTTTGGGTGTGGGTGTGTCCTAAAATGGGCGTCGGGCGCATGCGGACCCTTCCACTGGGGACTTCGGTGGAGATCCCTATGGCGCCACGAACCGAGTAAGGTTTGTGTGTGTGTTTGTGTGTGTGTGTGTGCGTGCGTGCGTGCGTGCGTGCGTGCGTGCGTGCGTGTGCGTGTGCGTGTGCGTGTGCGTGTGCGTGTGTGTGTGTGTGTGTGTGTGCGCGTGTGCGTGCGTGCGCGCGCGCGCGTGTGTGTGTGTGTGTGTGTGTGTGTGTGTGTGTGTGTGTGTGTGTGTGTGTGTGTGCGTGTGTATGTGTGCCGAAATTGGGCGTCGGGTGCCTGCGGGCCCTGCCACTGGTTCCTTCAATGGAGCCCCTATGGTGGCACGTGGAGAACAGAGGCAGGAATGGG